GAGATAGATTAGTAAAAATTCAAAATAAGACTAGAGATTTAGAACACGAATATATAAATAGCATATATGATAAATTCAATAAGAAGTTAGAACGGATTAAAGTAAGATATGATAAAATAATGAAAGAGAATCAATCTATGAAAGACGAGATTAAAAAATTAAAATCAGATAATGATAAAATAAACGAGGAGAAGTTAATTAACTTAGAAACCAAATTAAACAATCTTGGAAATAATACAGATGTATCTAATAAGATTGCAGGTAATGATGTAAATAGAGAGTTATTATCTGAATTAAATAAAAAGATAACTGAGCTTATTAAAAGTATTAAAACAAGTCAAGTAAAAGTTGATATAAAAGAGTTAGAAAAATTATTAGATAAAGCTTTTGATAAACACTGTAAAATTTTTAAAAAAGAAGATAATAAGACGAAGAAGAAGGTAATTGAAGACAAAGATGCTATTCTTCTGTTAAAATCAAAAATTGAATCTTTAGAAATTGAGAATAAAAAATTAAAAGAACAACAAAGAGAAGAATGTAATAACACCATTTTCCCAGAATTAACCATGTTGAAATGTAATCAATATGATAAAACTTTAGTTACAAGTAACAACCCTCTTGAAGAAAAAGAAATTAAAATTAAGGATTTAACCAATAAAATTAAAACATTTGATGAAAGTGAAACTAATGAAAAAGCACCTAAAAGGGGTAAAGCTATAAAGACAAATGTTAAAAAAAATAGCAAAGTTCCTAAGAAAAATAATACCAATAAGGAAACTAAGAAAAAGACCCTTAAGAACACTAAAACTGAAAATGAAGCTAAAAGTGGAATAAGTGTCACCAACATACTTAAAAATGAGAATAAGAGTTATTTCAAGGATTTGTCGTTTTTTACTTCAACTGAATACGATAAATAAAATTTTAATAATGAATATGTTTGAAGGTTAAATTAAGAAAGTTTAAATTTTATAAACTGTTTTTAGTGTTTTAATAAATTTAATTTTATAAATAAAATTAGATGTCCTTAAAGACTGAATTTTTAAGTAAATTAAAAATGATTTACTAATTTTATTTATAAAAGCATTTAGTTTATTGATATTTAAATAAAAC